GTTAATGCTACTGTTGCAAATGCTAATCGTTTTCGTTCACCACCAGACAACTTTGATATTATAGTTGATGTACATTTCTCTAAACCCAACAGTTTGATTGTTTCTAAAACACATGATCGACGATCATCGTCAGTCATCGATAATGAATGCATTCGTAACATTGCCTAATAACACAAAAGGAAAGATATTGTAAAAATATTTAAGAACTCTCGTATTAAATACCTGAAAGATTAAATGTTCATGAAGTGTCATTGTTTCAATAAATACTTGATTTTGTTCAACATGTCCAATACATGAGCTTTTGATTCGTTCATTACGTGTTGTTACTCGGCCATTAACCATAATCGTACCAGAAACGAGTTCGAGTGTACTCGGATCATCAAGACCACTAAGCATTTTTAATAATGTTGTTTTACCTATAGAAAAACAAATGAATTATTTTCTTTTAGGACTAAAACAATCGTAGGTCGTTTACCAACACCAGATGCACCCATTATAGCTAAAATTTGTCCAGGTTTTACAATACCATCTTGATAATATTTATGTATTATTATTCTGTATAACTGTACTCTTATGAAAAATATAATATTATATTTTTTTGTAATAACACGCAACGATTACTCTTCTAAAAGAGTAAACATCCCCAATAAAAACATAAGATAAATATTATTAATCATCCGAAGTGTTTCAAGCATATACAAATACCTGTAATTTCTATTTTGTTACGCTTGCATGCATTCATATATCCAACATATGAAAAAGTATACAATAATACAATCACTATTATCTATATACTTCACAAGATGGACAAATATTATTTAAAAATTTTAGCCATTAACACATACATATTCACTCAGGCATGTTATAATTTATTTCGTGTAACAAAATAAATACTAACACGTTTAACATCAACATTTCGATTTCGAATAGATATGAAACAGGTACTATGTAAAACAATTAAATTTAATAAAATCTTTTCAATAAATATCTACAAACTGTTAATCCTATGAGTGACAATTTGTTTTCGAAGAATTATTTCTATTGTAGAAAAAATTCTCTCGAATATATTTTAATCATAAGAAATGAAATCAATAATAAGAAATGATCATGGTGATTATGGTTCAATTGAACATGAAAATAATTCAACATCAACATCAACAAATGGTAATATCTTATCGAATCTATTTTCTCAACGAAATTATACAAAAATGAGAGATGATGGTGAAGAAACTTCTCAAATTTCATTGGTAAGTAAAACTATATTGAAAATATTTCTATTATTAATCTTTCCATGAAGAGAGAACAAATTGAAGACACAAAAGAAATTTCAATGAGTTGGTCAAATATAACTGTTGAAGTTATTAAAAAAGAAGAGTCTCGTTTGTCGTTTTGGTCGAAAAGTGATTCATCAACATCACGTCATATTCTTGTCAATGAAGTATCTGGTATAGTTCGACCAGGAGAAGTCTTAGCAGTAATGGGCACATCTGCAGCAGGTATAAGTCGAAATATGTAATTTGGAATATTATTTATTTTCAATTAGGTAAAACAACATTACTCAATGCATTGAGTGGATATAGTGATAGACAAAAATTGAATGTAACAGGTTCTGTAATGTTAAATGGATGTGTAACAACAACTCATCAACGAAGATCATCAAATATTATTGGTTATGTTGAACAACAAGAATTATTTTGTGAAACACCTACAGTTCAAGAACATCTCTTATTTCACGCTATGTTACGAATGTCGTCAAAAACATTAACTGATGATGATCGACGAAAACGCGTGTTAGATACAATAAAATTATTATCTATGGAAAAATGTACATCAACTATAATATCAAAGTTGTCTGGTGGTGAACGAAAACGATTAGCATTTGCAACAGTAGCATTAACTGATCCATCAATAATGCTTATCGATGAACCAACATCAAATCTTGATGCATATTTAGCTAAATCATTAATGAATACTATTCATATGTTTGCTAACGAACGACGTCGATCGATTATTGTTGTTTTACATCAACCTACAACAGATATGTTTAAATATTTAAATAAACTTTGTTTATTATCTCATTATGGAAGACAAGCTTTTTTTGGTAATTCACATCCTCAGGCAATAGATTTCTTTACTAATCAATGTGGTTTAACTGGACAATCAGTTGATGAATTTATCGAACAAATTTCTTCTAATAGTAATGTTGGTGAATATGTATCTGATGAATTTGATATAAATTGTAAATCCTCTTTAATTCAATCTATTGAATCAATAAATAATAAATCTCTAAATGATTCGAAATTTGTCAGTGTTAATTTTTTTCGTCAATTAAAATGGCTTCTTTGGTATTCAAGTGTGGGTGGAGCTCGTTCACCAATTCGAACATCTCGATTATCATTTCGTTTACTTCTAATGGGTATTATATTTGGTTTAGCATATTTTCAACTCGATCCTTCGGAAACACATTACGTACAAAATCTTAATTCTGTTTCTTTTATTATTGGTATGTCACTTATTGTCAGTAGTATGGGTGTTATAGCAATAAGTTTACTTAATGAACGAATACTTCTTATTCGTGATATACAACGAAAAATTTATTCTCTTCAAGCTTATTATCTGGCTAAATCTCTATTTGATTCAATATTTATAATAATAATATCAGTTTTTTATTCAATAATTATTGTTTTACTTGTAAATATGAAAGAACTTGGATTAATGATATTCGTTATTTCGTTCGAAGCATTAGCTGGTTGTGCTGTTGCATCACTTATGGCATCAAGTTCATCATCAATTCTTATTATTTTACTTTTATTACATCCATTTAATATTATATTTAATCAATTTAGTGGAGTTTTTCTTAGTCTGAAATCAATACCTGATTATTTTAAATGGTTACAATATCTTTCATATTATTATTATGGTTACTCGTCAATTTTAATTCTCCAGTGGCGTAATGTAGCTATTGTACAAGAACCTTGTGAAATATTTATTAATGATACAATTTCAATCTGTCCATCTGTTTGTTATCGAAGTGGTATAGAAATTTTAAAAGAATATGGAGTTGAACAACATGATTTAAATTTTAATATATTAATGCTTATTACACTTATTTTAGGATATCATATTGCATCATTTATCATTCTATTTATTCGTATTCGAAGAATTTCATAATAAAATCGATGTTTTTAATAAGAATCTATTATATTTAGATTATACGAAAACTAGTGAGTCTCACATCTTAATTTCGTTCTATTTTTCTGTATTATTTCATCCCTATTCAAATAATATAACAATAATAATAAAATAGAAGATAAGATCTATCTTGTTCACATCTATGCTGATTTTTTGAATAATTTTTAATTGATTCGCTTTTTTTATGAATATATTTGTTGTTGTTTGTCAGTGGTAGAAAGAAAATCAAATCAACTTCAATGGCCATATTTCGGTCTATTTTTCTGTTAGCCATCTGATAATTTTTCTAGAAAAATTTTGACAATCACGAGTGCCTGATATATAATTGTGACCTTGTTTATGTAAAATACGAATCTTCCTTTTACTTCCGAGACTTGTATGAAGAGCTGCATCACATTCACAATCCAACACATCAGCAGTAATACTACCAAAGAGATGAAACTGAATGCAGGCCTATTGTCCATTACTGAGTTTTAAAATAACAGAACAGTGACTGATACTCATAACGAATCAACTTATTGTTCGAAGACCCGTTTCAACCCAAAGAACTGTTAAAATTCCTTGAATTGAATGGGCAAATCTCTTAATAAATTCTCTAAAAAGTACCATTATCTGAAAATAAAATAATTCTAAATCAACGTATTTCAATTGTTTAGTTAATAGAAGAACAGTATTTGAAGCATTAAATTTGTAAATACTCACGTTTTGAACTTTTTCTTCATATCTCTCTCTATATTGATTGATCGTATGAAATTATAAAAGAAGGTTATTATATTTCATGAGTCAAGAGTTTTTAATATATCATCGATATATGTCTATTGATAGATAATCAATGCGAAATATTCTTCGAGAAAAACTTTTGTTTTCAAATCATGTATACAAATTGTACATTCTTTAGCCATATTAATCGACTGGATATATATTATAGGAACAGAATGAAAAAAAAGTGATCAAGCGTAACTTTCTCTTTTTTTCCTAATCAACTCGTATAACAACAAAGGGGAGTGACAAATAGATGAGACATTTCGATATGATAAGATTATATCTTATAAATTGTTGCCTTTATTTATTTAAAACGTCTATCTATTATCTTCCGTCATTTAAATAATCGATATTTTTGTCTATGCAAGTCATTTAAACATATACATAGATTCTTTTAGGATTTAAAATAGTTGCAACTGAGAGAAACAGCGTAAATAACTCGTATACCGATGAGTATTCTTCTAGAGAATATTTCTTATAGTTTTTCAATTAGTTCGACGAATCTATTAGATATTATTGATGATATCATGACTGATAAATTTATATAATATGACTAAATAATAATATTTACTAATATCGAAAGAATACGAGAATCGAATCTACAGCAATTTATGTCATAGATAGAAATACTTTAAAATCTAAGAACATATATATATTGCATTATCAATCGTGATTAAAATAAAAAAGAATAACGAATTTGGTACACGTACAGACTCATTCTCAAGATTTCATTTTTCACTTTTTCATACATCAGTCGTCAAACTAATGTTTGATACAGATGATAGATGTTTTCTAATTAATTCTAGTTTTTGTTAATATAAAAATTTAAGATATTTGCGAACAGTTTTTCGATATGGCCTACCATAACCGAGCTTAATAATGGATTAAAATTTTATCATACCAGTTTTTCTTCATAAAAAACTGTATTACATTTTTCGTTAGCGTTGAATATTTTGAGGTGGATAAAGAAAATTCATCATTCGGTAAATTCGTATCGGGATTTTCAGTTTTTTTACTAAAAATCTTAAAATTTGTTACTTAGTGTTTGCTCATGTCTATTTAATATAAAACATTTCAATAGATTTTTATTAATTAAAAGACATTGTAGGCGACATTCGTATTTGAAAATATAAAACATATGATGAGTCATAACAGTTCTAACTGGAAAAAAACGATTTCTACTTTTTTTTTAAATAAATGTAAATGATTCAATTGAATAACGAACAGCATTTAATAAAATTATTTCTGAGACTTCGTTGTTCTTTCTTGTTTAATAAGGTAAAAAAATCAAATCAAGATTTTGTGCAGTTAAAATCTTTTCGATCGCTTCATAATTAATATATGGATAATATAAGATTTTTATGTATGCATTCATCTATTCGTAGCAGAGCGCGAAGGAGTACAAATATTATAAGCAACAGTATTGTACTAGTCTTAACTGGGTATTATTAGTGTTTTTCGGTATAGTGTTGCCAGAATCGTGGTATATTGATGATCGAAACTAACTTTTGACTTTTTTCATTTTCGTCTCTCTCAAAACAATTTAATTTTATTTTATCTCTCCAATTTCGGGATTTGAATTGGTCGAATCTCCATGAAATCATAAAAAATGATAATTTCTTATGTTTTGTCGTGTTATTTATATTATGATGTTGTGTATGAAAAAGGAAACCCTCTACAACTTTCCTCAGTAAAATTACAAGTGTGGATATTCATACAAGTACTTGTTTAGTAAAGATACTTCTATGAGTATAATTAGTGAGAACTTGCAAAGTATCCATATATCGAATATCTTTCTCAGACTTTTCCGGTGCATTGGTATTCTGTCTAGGAAATGTTTTTTTTTTCATTACTGTAGAATTTTTTTAAAATTAAAACCTAAGAAAGAATTGAAAAATAAATCGAAATGACAGAATGTTATTAAATTGATAAATTGATTTTTAAATTTCAAAGACGACCTAAAGAATATTAAAATGCTGAAAATGTAATTTGTTTGATTAATGTACTTTTATGAATTTTTTTTATGTTGATTAAATGAAAAATAGTCTATTTAAAATCTAAAACAACAATTAAATATATGAATATCTGTCTTTTCAAATTTAACATAAATTATAAGAGAAATTTTCTTTTCTCATTAAGTAGACAAGAAAAACAGGATGTACTATTTCAAGAAAAAACAGAATTGTATTTATTAATTTTTACATTCTTTTTCTAGTTCATTCTCAGCTGAATTCATCTTATTAACATTGATTCTTGTTAGCAATGGTTTATCAAAGAATTTTTTCATTATTTCTTATTGTTTTTATTAAACAATCAGCTACAGAAGATATACGATTATTTCGAATGTCAAAAATAAATGGTTGGCAATTTCAATGTGCTAATACTACTTGTTTACCATTTATTACTGTCACTGTGTCGAATATGATTAAATGTCAAACAAATTGTTTAGCTCAAATTCATTGTAGAGCAGTTACATTTCATAAATCAATTTCTACTTGTCAATTGTTTGACGATATTATCAATCAAAATTCAAATATGTTGGCTAATACAGATACTATTAGTGCCACTGTTATTCTTCAAACAAGAATACCACCCGGTTAGTATCAATAATATAAATTTTGAAAAAATCATTTAGAAACGATAAATCAATATATATATTCGTTCAATTAATCTCATCATTTCTCAGAATAAGAAAATCTTTACATAGTTCAAATGTAATATCTATGGAATAGACTGACATTATAGCTATTCAAGAACCTTTTCTTTTGTTACTGTCTTCTACTATTTGTGTAACAATTCTAGTAAAGTGAGTATCGATTTTGTCATTATACGACGTAGTATTAAGATTTCGCTGTATCAATAATTTACTGTTAATATTATTACATTTAGTCAATAGGATATTAATAAGAACTTAGTTTTAATAAAAAATTTTGTTAAATTCTTTCTCTTAAATTCTATATTATTTTGTTTAAAACAGAACCAACAACTACATCAACAACATCAACATCAACAACGTCGACAACAACTACAACAACTACAACAACATCATCAACATCAACAACAACAACAACATCAAAAACAACTACAACAACAACAACAACAACCAGTAAGTGATACATTTAATAATAAGTAGTTTTGTTAGTTGATAATAAGACGAATATTTTAAAAATATTTGAGTAGAAAACTTGAGATGATCTCACATGTAAATAATCAAATAGAATTTCTATGGACGAAAACAAAGTCATGTGAAAATAATCTTTGTATATCAATCTCAATATTAGAGTAGAATGAGATTCATTCAATCATTTTATTTTTTAGCAACAACTTCTTCATTAAGTAATGCATTTTCATTAAGTCAAACTATTGATGGAAGAATAATAACATGTAATAGCGTAAATAATACGAATTTGTACACTGAATGTTCAACTTTACAACAAGGTGGTTTATATTTTCCAAATGGAATTGCTTGTCCTGGATGGAGTACAACAACCTCTCCTTATTGGGATACCATTGGATTTTGTCGTAAAATAACAGGTTCTTTATTAGCAACTATATACGCTTATTATGATTGTGATACCTCACAACCACGTGTTACTTGGATTGCAGATGTTTGGTCAACAAATAACGATAATGGATTCACCAGCATTTTAAGATGTTACTATTAATAACATAAATAAACAGAAAAATAATTGAAATATTTATCATGAAAAACAAAATCTATTATTTCAATAAATCTAAAATAAGAAACTCTTTTTATTTAGCTCAATATATTTTCTTTTATTATTATGAGAAGTTCTTAATTTTGATAACAATATGATTAGAACCTCTATGACAAACGAAAATATGAGCTTGCTTCTTTTTTTTTGTAACTCTTGATAGTGTAATTGTAGAGATTTATTCATATAGACAATACACAAATGATATTCTGCCCGACCTAAATCTTTCTTTTTCTATATCAAATGTTAATGAGAATGTTATTAAAAACTGAATAAAAGTGATGTACATTAAAGTTTAGTTCAATCAATGATAAATTATATTGTCAAAAGTTCAGTATAGTATGCAATAATGTTAA